GTAGCAGATCGGTAGCCAGTGGAATATGAATATATTTAATATATGAATACATATATATTACATATTACATATATTACATATTACATATGAATATATTTAATATAAAATATTATATACATATACATATATAATATAAATATTATAAATATAATATACATAGATCTATAATATAAAACTATGTATATTGGTGTATTTTAAGTTGGAATTGCCACTTTGAGTCTCCGTATGGAGAAATAAGGCGGGATATAAATAAATAAATAGGGCGCCTTCCCGTTTAAGAAAGAGATCCATTCTGGGACCAGCCCTTTAGTTGGCCCGCCTACAAGACCGCGAGGAAAACGAACTTCCAGCGCGCATGCGTAGAGGGGCGGAGACAGCCAAGAGAAAGGGGAGGAGCGTCTGGCCGGCCGGCGCATGCGCGCGGCCTTTCTCCCCGCCCCTGGCTGCTTGGGCTGGTCTTTTGCAGCTTTAAAGTGGGGGCAGTGCCTCGCGCGGCCTGGAGGCGCCTTGGCGTGTCTTTGGAGGGAGACCTACTGAGGGAGACGACTGCGCCCCTTCAGGCCTGCCTGCTCCCCTTTTCCTCTGGAGGCTGCGCCTTCCCTTCGGAGCCCCCTCGAGGCTTGGGCTGCAGGGAGGAGGAGGCCGCAAAGAGGTGAGCGCCCCCGAGTTGGCCCCCTTTCCCTCAGGCGGTGGCCCCAACATGGCGGCGGCCGAGGAGGCGGGGACTGGCCCACGCGCCATAGAGGAGGAGGGGCGGGGCTAGAGGTTGGGGGCGGGACAAGGACACCACTTGGCCCAAAGGGAGGAATCAAGAGGAGAGGTGGATGGATTGGGAGGCATGTGGATGAGCCTGGGAAAAGGTGAGCACCAATTAATTGGGAATTTTTAAAATACTGTTTATAATTAATCCTATTTTATAATCATCATCATAATAAATCTTTATTTATATCCCACTTTTTGTATATTTGTATATTTTAAGTCAGCCATGGGCAAACTTTGGCCCTCCAGGTGTTTAGGAGCACTCAGGGAGCACACCACTCCTCTGCTGCGCCAGCTCCACTGGCTGCCAATCTGCTACCAGGCACAATTCAAGGTGCTGGCTTTAGCCTATAAAGCCCTAAACGGTTCTGGCCCTACTTACCTCTCCGAACGCATCTCCTCCTATGAACCGACTAGGACATTAAGATCGTCTGGGGAGGCCCTGCTCTCGGTCCCGCCCGCATCGCAGGCGCGGTTGGCGGGGACGAGAGACAGGGCCTTCTCGGTGGTGGCCCCTCAGCTGTGGAATGCCCTACCTGTGGACATCAGACAGGCCCCTTCACTGCTGGCATTCCGGAGGAAGGTCAAGACTTGGCTTTACGAACAAGCGTTTGGTTAAATAGTGCAATGAAATACAGTAAGATGGTACAACTGAACATAGGAATTGGTATAAAGGATTATGATTACGGATTCTGATTTGTTTGCTGAGGCGCACGTCTATGATAATGATTGTTTTTGACTTGATATGTTGTATAGTGTATTTTTAATTGCCTTTTTGATGTTGTTGTGTTAACCTTTACTATGTAAACCGCCTTGAGTCGCCATTTCGGCTGAGAAAGGCGGTATAGAAGTAAAGCAAATAAATAAATAATAAATAGGACTTCAGCTCCCACAATTCTGGCCGTTAAGAATTGTGGGAGTTGAAGTCCAAAACACCTGGAGGGCCAAAGTTTGCCCATGGCTGATTTAAATAGTTATGCTAATTTATTTATTTGTCGTGTCAGGGCAACCAGTCAATTATATTACATTTCTAACAGAACAAAGCAAACAAACAGGTGTTAAGGGCACAGGAGAAAACACAAATTTAAAAATGCCTCTCTGGGAATCTCTGGGTCCTCCAGTGTGACTCTGTGGCCAACTTCCACCAGAAATGGACCACAGAGTTGTGTTGGAGGATCTAGAGATTTATTTTATTTGTCGTGTCAGGGCAACCAATTATATTACATTTCTAACAGAACAAAGCAAACAAACAGACAAAATACAAAATTTGTGAGTTTGGTAGTTGATTAAATGTCCTTTGACCAGTATCTGGCCACTTGGAGTGCTTCTGGTGTTGCTGCAAGAAGGTCCTCCATTGTGCATGTGGCAGGGCTCAGGTGGCATTGCAGCAGGTGGTCAGTGGTTTGCTCTTCTCCACACTCGCATGTCGAGGATTCCACTTTGTAGCCCCATTTCTGAAGGTTGGCTCTGCATCTCGTGGTGCCAGAGCGCAGTCTGTTCAGCGCCTTCCAAGTCGCCTCGTCTTCTGTGCCCAGGGGGTCTCTCATTTGGTATCAGCCATTGGTTGAGGTTCTGGGTTTGAGCCTGCCACTTTTGGACTCTCGCTTGCTGAGGTGTTCCAGCGAGTGTCTCTATAGATCAGTGGTTCTCAACTTGTGGGTCCCCAGGTGTTTTGGCCTACAACTCCCAGAAATCCCAGCCAGTTTACCAGCTGTTAGGATTTCTGGGAGTTGAAGGCCAAAAACATCTGGGGACCCCAGGTTGAGAACCACTGCTGTAGATCTTAGAAAAACTATTTCTTGATTTAAGTCGTTGACGTGCTGGCTGATACCCAAACAGGGGATGAGCTGGAGATGTCTCTGCCTTGGTCCTTTCACTATTGGCTGCTACTTCCCGGCGGATGTCAGGTGGTGCAATACCGGCTAAACAGTGTAATTTCTGCAGTGGTGTAGGGCGCAGACACCCCGTGATAATGCGGCATGTCTCATTAAGAGCCACATCCACTGTTTTAGTGTGTTATGCTAATGCTTTTTTGTTAAGCCACTTTGGGTTAAAGCGGGGTATAAATAAATATAATACAGTAGAGTCTCACTGATACAATATAAATGGACTGTTCATTGGATAAGCAAAAATGTTGGATAATAAGGAAAAGCCTATTAAACATCAAAATACGAGGGGTGTTTTTTAAGTAAGGTCCATTGGAACATAAGTACACAACTAAAGTTTATTTCAAAAAAGTAAATTTATTTTCAGAAAGTACATACTACACTCTATTTTTCGACATAGTTGGCAAGTTTGTTCAAACACATATCATACCTCTGAACCAATATTAAAATACCCTCTTCATAAATCCTCGCTTCAACCGAAGCCACCAAATCGTCTGTAATCAAAGAAGGGCGACCGGAGCGGTCCTCATCATGGATGTTGTCACGGCCATCTTTGAATTGTTGTACCCACTTATGCACTTTGCTTTCACTCATAACAGTATCACCGTACACTTCACAAATCTGTCGATGAATTTCTGCAGCAGGCAGGTTCCTTGCTGACAAAAACCATATCACTGAGCGAACCTCACATGCGGCGGGTAAGTTGATAATCTTAAACATCTTTAAAGCACAGAACAGAATCGTACAGGTTAGCTAAAGAGCGGAAACTGAGCACAGTTGTTCCCGAGGCATGCCGGTACATGACGCACGCGCTCGTTGCAGTATGTGCGCAAATTACTAGTGTCTACAACAAAACGGACCTTACTTAAAAAATAACCCTCGTACATTATGATTACATTGTGATTTTAGAAAGTAAGCACCAAAACATGTTTTACAACAAATTGACAGAAAAAGCAGTTCAATACACAGTAACGTTATGTAGGAATTACTGTATTTACGAATTTAGCACCAAAACAGACAAGGGTTCTTTCGCCCATTTTGGACTGCGTTGTATAATACAGAAAGTTGGATGAGCAAAGGTTGGATCAGCGAGATTCTACTGTAATCACCTCTTGGGCAGGCATAATAATAATTATAATAATAATAATAATTTTATTTCTTAACTGCCTCCTCATGGCTTGAGGCAGGTTACAAAACAATTAAAATACATAAACACAGCAAAAACATTACAAATACTTACACTAAAATGTACCTCTGTAAAAGTTACATACCAAAATGTACCTCTCTGAAATACTTGTTAAAACAGTAAACCAAAGGACATTTATTCATGTTTATGTTTAAAGACTGTCTGGGTAGGCCTGCTGGGTGGAAGAGATAGGTCTTCACTTGTGTCTTGAATTACAACAGCTGCTTTAACTGGCGGAGCTCTTCTGGCAGGTTGTTCCATAGACGTGGGACAGCCAATGAAAAGTTCCTCTGGGTCAGGGGTAGGGAACCTTTGGCCCTCCAGCTGTGGTGGACTTCAACTCCCACAATTCCTTGAGGCTCGGCATTCGCCCCAAAGGCTTACCTTGGCCCAATGCCGAGCCTCAAGGAATTGTGGGAGTTGAAGTCCACCACAGCTGGAGGGCCAAAGGTTCCCTACCCCTGCTCTGGGTGGTGGTTGTCAGTCGGATTCTGGCTGTTTGGAGCAGATTTCCCTCTAGAAGACCGAAGTGTGCAGGGCGATTTGTACAGGAAAAGACGATACTTTAGGTAACCTGGACCCAAACCATGGAGGGCTTTAAAGGTCAAAACCATCACTTTGAAATTTGCCTGGAGACTAATTGGCAGCCAATTAGTCTCCGGGCAAATTAGACTTTACGATAGATGTGATATGCTGTTAGGCATTGTGGAAGTCCAAAACACCTGGAAGGCCCAAGTTGGCCCATGCCTGCTCTCAGAGGTGGGAGAGATGGACACTGGAGGTACAACCCATCCCTTTTGGATTTGTATTCTATCGCTGTTATATGATCTCTGCACCCTGTGTTTTGGTTTGTGTATTTTATAATAGTTTGTGTCTAGGTTACCTAAAGCACTGCTTTCTCCCATACAATCCACGCCACACACTTTGGTCTTCTGAGGGAGGGGACGTCTGCTCCAACCAGTCAGAACCCGACTGGCAGCTACCACCCAGAAGATCTTTTCATCAGCCGCCCCATGACTGTGGAATGACCTGCTGAAAGAACTCTCAACTGCTAGAGCTGTCAGAATTAAAAACCATGTAAAGACCTATCTCTTCCAGCAGGCCTACCCAGACAGTCTTTAAACGTGAATTTTGAGTGTCTTTTGTTTGATCTCTGTTTTGTGTGTTTTAGTTTGTATTTTGTTGAGATATGGTACATTTTGGTGTGTAACTTTTATAGAGGTAAGTTTTAGTGTGTGTATTTGTAGTGTTTTTGCTGTGGTTATACATTTTAATTGTTTTGTAACCCACCTCGAGCCATGAGAAGAGGCGGATAAGAAATTAATAATAACAACAACAACAATAATAATGCTGTGTTTTGATTGGTGTATTTTATGTCGATACGGTTTGACTGCGTTGCATCCCGCTTTCAGAGTTAGGGGAGGTTGGTAACAAATAAAATGTAAATGATGGTGGAAGAAGGGAGACAATGAATTAAAAGTTTGGGGTTTGATGGATTTGGAACAGATGATTTCAGGAGGTTGAGATGGCCTTTTCGTCCTAACCGATTGCGGCAGGCCCAAAGCAGTGTTGAAAAAATGAGAAAAGTACTGTAATCTGTACATTGAGATTTTATGACATTTGTTTTGGGTTATTGTTGCTCTTCAGATATCAGAAATATAATGAATGAAATTATCTCATAGACAATGTGGAAGGATTAGTTGGCTTTGGAAGGACTTTGTAGGGTCTAGTGGAGATCTGTGAAGGGTTATAAATAACTGAAGAAGGACAGTGTTTATAGAGTTTTTTTTAATAATCAGGATTCAAAATGGATTGGAACTGGAATGGTACACAGGTGCATGGGAGAAGAAGGAAGTGCGTGGCTAAAGAAGGCAGATGAGAGACCTGGTAGATCTCTGTATATCTGTGAAAAAAGAAACAAACAAACATGGATACCAGAAGAATGATTTTAGGTGGATTAGTTAAGATGGAATATGAATGACAAATTAATGTTATCCTGAAGATATTTTTTGTGCTTGTTCACAGAGAT